GCAAATAAGTGGTAGCTATAAGAAGACAGATTTTGGTAAGACCAAATGACAGCAACAAAGGGAGGAGGAAGAGGCAGAAAGAAGAGAAGAGAAAAACAAGGAGTGGAGGCAAAAAGAAACACAATTATACTTGCTTACAAACAGAATATTCCTCATGAGAAAGTGAGGGTTCCATCACTGAAGCTAGTCAAGCACAGGCTGGAGGACCATCGGGAGGGATGTTCTGGAGAGGATGCAAACAGTGGAAAATGAATCGTATAGCATGTCTCCCAGAACTAAGATGCTGTGATTCTATTTCTCTTTCTCAACAGTTATAGGTGTGGCCACTTAGAGAAACAGAAAAAATAAAAACCAAGAAAATTATGGTCCAAATATCCTAAATGTATAAAGCAGATATTCTAGTAGATTTTAAAATGTTTACAAGCCATTAACTAATCAAAAATAAAGGGAAGGGAAGAATTGAAGAGCTTCAAGGTAATGCTCAAGGAACCACTCCCAAATGAGGTCCAACCATAAATGAAGAGCTGGCATTGGAAACAATGAAGACAAGGATTCAGTTGACCCACAGTGTTCCTCAAATGCATCTATTCTTTTAAGATAGATTATTAAAATAAATGGGTTGCCTAAAAGTCATGGAATTTGGAAGCTTTATTTCCTTAACATTAAATCACAAGGCTTCAGCCTCTCAATCCCCCATCTAACATCAGCCAATAGATTTAACGTTTTGACACTTTCAGAGAAAGATAGCTGAGCCTTGGCTGAAGACTGTCTTAGAATATTTTGCAAGAAAAAACAAGCTCTGCTGAGCTGGTAATAATCCAGATTACCATCCATTTCCCCTTTTAGAGGCACAATGGATTTTAACCAGTTTTCTGTTTTATAAATATTACCATGGCTCAAAACATCTATGAGGAGACACAACATTACTCGTGGCTCTCATCCTGTTTGCTAACTAATTATATCAACAACCTGAACCAACTTAACACTATACAAAAACACAGCTGATTTAGCAATCTGTAAATTATACATGTACATAAATCTGTACTAAAATGTGCTGTGTTTCACTCCTGCTAATGTGCATGGATTCTTACTGGCACCTACAATTGTTTGATATAGGTTCCCGAACACTAAAACATATGTTCTGCCCAGAATGGGACCATTTAGAGTAATATTTTTGTAGTTTCCTGGCACTAAGGTCTGCCAGCCTTTCTAAGACAGATCTCCTATTTGCTTCAGCGAACATTCTGACAACAAGTGCCTACAGATTTAAGCAACTATCAAAAAATATTCTGTAACAACACTTTCCATCCATGAATATAAAGAGAAACGGGCTGGTTTTGCCTATGTGGCAACAAAGCCAGTAGGATTTAAAATGATCACTGACATGACCATAAGCAAAATCAAATAAAATATGGAGTATTAATTATTTCTGCTGCCTACTTATGGCAATAAAAAAACAGATAATTATCAAATCTTTCCTTCAAATGGGATTCAAAGTGTACCAAAGAAAGTTAAAGTAGATTTAATACCAGCAAGACCAGTAAACACCTTAGAAATGTTTTTTAAATACAGTGACAGGCCTAAACAGTTTCAGCCAGTCAACACTGTAAAATAGGGGCAAGAACCCTGGACCAAGATTCACTAGAATGTAATCTGCTAATCACAAGGAGGGTTTCTTGTTTACCACTATATCCTCAGTGTTCCATAAATACATTCAATAAATCTTTGTTGAATGAATAAACCAGTAACAACTACTGGCTAGTCCCCGATCTGTCTCTAATTGCCTTTTCCTAACTCTGCCTCTTACTAACTGTAGGTAAATCACTTAACCTGAGGATTCTTAGGTGAGTTTTAGTTTAAGGATTTTAGTTCCTTAAATTCTAAAATGGAGACACTGCACCTCCTCTACTAGCTTATAAGGATCAAAGGCGATATTCTATGAAAAGTGACTTGGTACTTTATAATGGGGCACACAGATGTTAAGTGCCCATTATCCCCGCCTTTGCCTTCAGCTAAACCACTGACAAAGGTGAACAGACTGCATTTCCTTGAAATATAATTAGCCTCTCCTTTGCCCTATTATTCTGTTGAGATGTAGTAGTGTGGCTGTTAGCCAAGATGGATGTTGTTCTTGTTGTTATAGCATTTTATTTAATCTCCACTCGGAAATTATGCTTCTTGAGAGAATATAATGGTAACATGAGGAAAGTGTTTTTGCATGGTATACCATAAAGAATATGACATTGGATTCAAATGGTTTGGGGCCTCATCAGTTCTGCCCTTAAATATTTGAGGAAAGTCTCTTGCATCAGTTTCCTTATTTATACAATGATGGGGAAGGAGAGGCAGACTAGATAATAATTAAGGTCTGTCTCTTCCTACAGTTCTATGACATTCCAGACATCAGATATTCAAATAACCCAAAATGAAGTCAGTACTACTGTTCATTATCATATGAGAAGTTTTTAAAGGATGATAAAAATAGTTCCACAGACTAAATCATAAAAGCTGAAGAAATAATAATGCTGAGAGAAGGATATATGATATATGTCCTCTAAGGAATACCAGCCTCAGGCATTGTTTGCTCTGCCACTTTGAATAAGCCACTTACTATTCCTAGGACTCAGTTTTCTGATCTGTAAAAGAGGAACATTAATAGTGCACAGGACCACTGGGAGAAAACACCTAATAAAATGATCATAAAACATTGCTTCTCCAAGGTAAAATGCTATTTTAATACCATAATGTCCAAAAAAAGGGCTCATGGATTTTAGAACGAGACAATCAATATCTTTAAATAGACTTTTTCCACCACAGTAAAATAATATAATGCACGCAGATATTGTGATATTTCCAGGAGTTCGCATTTTTCTTCCATTTGTGTTCAGGAAATATTATAAAAAGGATCACCTTTTAAACATTAAGTGCCATATTTCAAGATGAGAATCATTTCTTCTGAAATAATAATTTTAAAAATTCATCCAACTCTCCCAAGATGCTTCATTTTTGTTGAAGCTATTCGTTTGATTGGTTCACTGAAATCAACCTGCTGAAACTGATGTTGAAATGACAACGCCCATCCTAAAAATATTCCCAGTGACTTACTCTAGTCACATTCTATGCTTACAGAGGGAAAGTGGCTCTAATAAGATCAACTAAACTAGACAGTATTCTGCCTTCACAGCTCCAAGATTCTTAAGGTTCTCTTACAAACCCAAAGCATCTTGTGACTTTTACATGTAAGTTTCTCTTCCTGCTCCCTCCACTCAAAAATATACACAGTATACATTGGGGTTTCCCCTCTAACTTACAGGGTACTGCCTCTTTACTGAAAAATAGAATTGTCATTGATATTTATGAGGAAGTTGGTGTCACTGACAATGGGATAACCAAATTTTCAAGATTGTCTCCATACCCCTTAATAGTCCAATAAAAATAGCAATAATAGCACAGTAACTCTTAGTTATTTTATTTAAAAATCCATGAACACCTCCAGCTTTTTTTATGGCAAAACAGTTCATTGTGGCTGTTCACATAGTAATTATCATCCCCTTGCATCCCCAGGTAATGACTGTGACCTTGACCTAAAAGTCACCTTAGTTTGAATAAGGAAGACCTTGAAAGCAAAGGTGACTGACCAGAAACACTCTTAGGAGGCACACAATGAAGAAATGATCATTTCTAAGAAAGCACTTCAATAATACATGATTATTTGCTATGCTAGTTGATGTGTTTTATTATAAGATAAACTTAAATCACTGTTTAATTAAAGAGTATTAGTAACATAAGTTACTTTTCATGCCCTTCCCCTGAATCCCTAACTAAATCCAAACAGAATCTCACCTGAAATCTTGAGATTTACACATGATTAAAACCCATTTCCTAAGTTAGCTCCTCATGTCCCCCTGGTAGAAGAATGTCATCTGTTTCTGGAAGGGGTGGGGTGGGGGGTCTAGGAGTCTGCAAAGAGCATCTTATGCTTGGCTGTCTTTCAATGTATCGTTTGATGAGCTCGTGCGCTGCGCCTTCCAACTGCCAGGACTCCTTTTTGCTCTGCAAGTGCTTAGCTGGGGTCTCTCCGCTGTAAGTCCAAAAGCGTTTGGAATTCTTCCTTACCATCCCTGCTCCTAGCTAGGACTCTCGCCTCTCAAGGCTTCATGCTACCGTCGATCTTAATGCCACAAGGAAACAGATGAGTGCTGATGATCAGTGTATTGGGTAATGGATCTATTTATAGGTTTGGTGAGATTGGGAATTTATAAGTGAGCAACACTTAAGGGTGGCATAAAACAGTTGTGGGTTTGGAAGACAGGAAATATAACAGGTTTGTACCTGTGACCATTTAGTCCGCTCTGCACTTGTGCCCTCCACTTCCCACCTGACGCCAGGAGAACCATCTGCCCCTCACTTCGAAGGTGAGCTTTAACTTCACCTGGAAAGGGGTGGGGGAGTGAAGGGGTGGAATCAGGCCGCCGACAGCACTTCCCCACACCTCGGACTTTTCAGTTGCAGGGATGGAAGGTGGAGGCAGCCGCATCCTCCCATTCTGAGGCAACGGGGACCGGGAGTTGCCCGTCTCTACTGCTTGCTCTCCCTGGGGAGAGGCGGCGCCTCCGGGAGCCCCAGAGCCTTCGCGGAAGGGTGGGCAGTGCCGACGGGGCACGCGCTGCCGCTCCGGCTGCGGCCAGCTTTCCATCACTTTTCCCAGGACTTTGCTCAGCAGCTGTCACGCACCCTTGGAGATGAGACCGAGAAGGCGCGAGAAAGGCCCAAAAGGCGTCCCCAGAAGAGCTCTCCTGTTAGGATGGGGACCCATCAGACCCCGCCCCGCCCTGCCCACCTTTCTCTGCCTCGGGGAGGCTGCCCTGGGTGCCCGCGCCGCGGCTCCTTAGCAGAGCTCGCGGGTTCTGCTGCATCTGCTGGCTCCGAGCGGCGAGAGGTTCTGCAATAAAAGCACGGATAAAACGCCCGGGTAATCGAAATCCGAATGCACCTCTTACCATTGGACCGCCGGACAATATTCTCCAGAAACGTGTTCTGCGGGGCCACCAGTCCCCTCCTGCCCCCAGCCATGGTCATTCTCCCAGCAGCTCAGGGTCCGGGGGGCGTCCTGGCGCGGCTTCTTACGACCGCAGGAAACTGGACTCGGGGCCCGCACGCAGTCCCGGCTCGAAGCGCCCCATGCGCCCCGCGGGGACCCGCAGGCAGGGCTGGCGGCTCCCTACGGCTGCTACCCTCGCGCCCTCTTCGCGCCTCCCTCCCTGCGGCCCGCCTCGCAGTGCACTCGCGCCGGCCTCGGCTCGCTGCAGCCGCCTCCGGGTGGGCGGAGGGAGCAGCGGCGCCTAGGCCGGCGGCGCCCCCTACCGGGCTCGTGCCCCCCGCCGGCCTGCGGGAGACGAAGCTTTGGGGTTCCCGCAGAGGCCGGGAAGCGGCGGGCGGCCGTGGACCAAGGCTGGGACGGCAGCGCCACCCTCTGGGTACAGCCGGGAAATGTGTTCAGGATGTGCCTTGGGTTGGGTGGAGAGGGCATTGTGAGCAGCTTTCAGGGCGGATTCACCCCTAACAAGTCTTGGGGGAGCGTGCTGATGTAACTCTCTTCCTTTGCTCTGTTTCAGGCCAGGGACCCCGGGACGTCTAAGGCTCTGGGAACACCTTCTTGCCTTCCTGTAAGATTTGTCAGCCTGACTAGTGAAAGTTGCCCCACCTTGATTCTAGGCCAGTGTTGGAGCAGTAATTAATGAAGTTGTATTGCAATAATGCAGATTTACAGAGTGACTGGCAGATTCAGCTTCAGAAGAGTTGTCTTGGGTTGTTTTTACCGTAGACACAAATGCAGGCTCCTGATGTTTGGTATGATCAATATCAAACTGCCTGACAAACATCAAAAACGGTGGAGTTGTCTCTAAGGACCAATGGTCAGGGGAGGGGCAGTATTAATTAAGCAACCGTGGCTTTGGCTTGAAGGGTAGTCTGTAGTGCAGAGGATACAGTTAGTTTTTACAGCTGACCCCTAGTATACGGAAGAACCACGTACATCCAAGGTTTCGGGACAGGGGCTAAGACAATAGTCGTTTGTTCACTTATTTTGGGGGATTTCGAACCAAACATACTCTGTACCTGCCTTTTTACTATATATCCCCCGTCGGTGTGGTGGGAGACTAAGCCTATGTCCCACAGAGGAAATGAATGGAGAGTTTACTAGTTTCAGACCGAGTCAACAGTCAACACGAAAATGTAAGAGGAAAAAAAAACTGACCCCGGAAATTAATTGTCTGAGTTAGCCATCCTGACATATCCTAATGTATTGCAAAGACATCCTGTCTCAGTTAATTAATCTCAAAAACAGAAGAACTAATTCTTGCCCAGAAATCTCTCAGAGTTGCTGTGAAGATCAAGCAAGATTATGCATGGGGACAGCACCCTAAATTGTAAAGTGCTTTGCCAAGGTCAGATGTCATTATTGGAGTGACTAAATAAATTGGGCCATTACGAATATCACCCTTTGTCTCATCTTGTGAAGAGACAAAGTAAACAGATTGCTGTTAGCAGAGAGTTAAATAAGGTTGTCACAGGATTTGAAATGAAAGTAATGATACACTTTTCCCTTAAGATAGCCTTCTACCCATCGCCTGTCACCCAGTCTAGAACTGTGATTTCTTAAACCCTAGCTCCGTCTAGTGGTTCTTTGTTCTATTACAAATGAGATAACACAGTGGTTGAAGAGAACTTGACTCTCAAATGCATTTGGTGCTGAGCTGAGCCAGTTTGGTGCCTATCGACTTCATTTAAATAAGTTCATTTAAATAAGGTTTTTAAAGTTGTGTTATTGCACAAACATGCCAAGGGAAGATTTTTCATGACAATATTAAAAACCCATCAAGAAACTTCATAATCCTGCTTGTGAAAGGAAGATAAAGAAAATAATGCGGAGGGGAAAACTATCATAGAGTTAATAAAATTTGTAAGGTTTTAATGAGCTCTCATGTTCTATGGCTTAGATAAAAAAGGAAACAGATGATATTAGTTTGAGTTGAGAGATGTTAAAGCCTTGGTGGGCTACCTGATAAGAAAAAGAAATGAGATGTCTTCCATTTTAAATGTACTACTGAAATGGATCTCAACATGGACTGTGCGTGCGTGTGTGTGTGCGTGCGTGTGTGTGTGTGTTGGCACCTTTTTGAATACTACAAGTTTTGGTGGCACACTTGAAGAAATTAAAAGACCTAAAACAAAGTAGTGCTACTACAAAGTGGTCCTTTTTTTAAAGTTTTAAACCTCCAGATTGTGTGCCATAACACGATCACATTATTTCATATCTTTTTGCTTAAATAAGACTGGATGCTTATAAAAGCACTGTTATACTGTGTTATGGCACTTTAAGTACTTGCTTAGAAATGATCATTTCTTCATTGTGTGCTTCGTAAGAGTGTTTCTGGTCAGTCACCTTTCCTTTCAAGGTCTTCCTTATTCAAATTAACTAAGGTGGCTTTTAGGTCAAGATCACAGTCATTACCTGGGGATGCAAGAGGAAGATAATTACTACGTGAACAGCACAATGAACTGTTTTTGCCATTAAAAAAAAAAAAAAAAAAAAAAGCTGGAGGTGTTCATGATTTTTAAATAAAATAAATATTTAAGAGTTAAATTGTTCAAAAGTCAGCAATCTTTCATCACAATGTGAGTGTCTCACAGTGTCTGTGGAAGTACATCCAGTTTTTTCCCCCATTCCCTTGGTTCACTCACAACACATCTGACTGTAGGAATAGAATCACATTCTGCCCTGTCCACAGCCACATCCTCAATATTTCAGTAAACACTCCCTCTTTCTTGGTGCTAGTTGACAGGATACTGTGCTTCTTACCTTTTACTTGCCACCTTCTGTTCCCTCCTTAACATTGAGTTCCAGCACCTGCTCAACTTAAAAGTTCTGTCTGAGATCTACCTCTGTAATATAGGAATCTCAGTTAGAGTAAATTTTAATCTTACAGATTTGTCGAAACTTGGTTACAGATTCGTGAAGGATTCACAATATACCAGTGTACCTTGGAAAACAGTTGAGAACGCTTGTATTTTTGCATAACATACAAAGCCACTCCTTCATTTAAAGGGACAACTTTAGATAACTGTGACCAGAGTTCCAATTCAACTGCCTCTATCCATCTGTGCAGAAAATGTAGCCCATTTTCTGCAGGGATACAGAGTTCAGATACAGAGTTGGAAATAAATTCTAAAATGTGAGTCTACTGCTTCTAGGCTTCTTTCCTCCTCAGGGGCTCTCCTCCTGTATCCCTCAGCATTTTGTTTACCCCTTAGCTATAAGATGTGTTTATGTCTGTATCATGCTGTGGATTATGTCTGTATCACGGTCCTTGAAACAAAGACACACTATAACTATCTTTGTTCTCATAAATGCTATTAAGCTACACTGTAGTTAGTGAGTTCACAAATGTAATAGATAGTGATGGAGGCATAATGCTATAGGGAGAATATGGAGATGGTGGTCTGCAGATTGGCTGGGAAAAGAGTCCAGGAGATGACAGAAAAATCTCTCCCCGCAACAACAACAAGAAGTCTATCGGCCGGGCGCGGTGGCTCAAGCCTGTAATCCCAGCACTTTGGGAGGCCGAGACGGGTGGATCACGAGGTCAGGAGATCAAGACACGGTGAAACCCTGTCTCTACTAAAAAAATACAAAAAAACTAGCCGGGCAAGGTGGCGGTCGCCTGTAGTCCCAACTACTCGGGAGGCTGAGGCAAGAGAATGGCGTAAACCCGGGAGGCGGAGCTTGCAGTGAGCCGAGGTTGCGCCACTGCACTCCGGCCTGGGCGACAGAGCGAGACTCCGTCTCAAAAAAAAAAAAAAAAAAAACAAGTCTATCAAACGAAGAGGATGACGATGCCACACATCAGAAGAGGCAAATGGTATCATATAAAGACAGGAACTTCATTTTTCCTTCCATTAAGACCACAAGGTGTGGGTGACAGATTTTCGAAAGCCAGGAACCTCTCTAACGTAGGAAAGTTGCCTGTGAGTCCTAGAAGGTCTGAGAGCTGGAAGGGGCAGGCCACAGATGCATCATCATGAGCAACTTAAGTGGAGGAGAAATTGAACATAGAGGCGACTTCACTACTCAGCCACCATGAGTGAAATATCTAAATATCTAAAAGTGGAGAGGAATTTGCAGCATGAGAAATTTCAGCTTCTATAGCCCAATGACTGACTGACTTCTTGTATGTAATTTCTGTTAACAAAACTTCTATTTGAATCAACTTATAGGAAGAATGTTGGGCAGACTAAATACATTGAAAAAAATGATTCCCTACTATAGATGTATCTCCCCAGTGTTGGGAGAAGGGACAGAATCTGCTTCAAAGGAAATACTAGTCCCTGAATTCGATTGACTAGGGGCAAAGAATGCACTGATGTGGGTCTACACTTACCCATGGCTAACCCAACAGACAGTGTGAAGCGTTTGTAGAATTGAGTTATATCCTTCCAAGTGCCCTAAGCTATTCTTCCTTCTCATTTCCTCTAAACAAAAGAGAAAAGGATCTTTTATCACACCCTTCCCTCAGTGGGAAATAATTAAAAGTCATTTACAACAGTCTCATTTTATTATAACAAACATTTGCATGGTGTCTAGTATATAGCAGACACTGGGATAGGTTCTAAGGATTAAAAGATGGTTATGACTGGCACCTGCTCACAAGAAATTCAACAAACACTTAATGAATGTGTATGTTCTTCATGATTTCTTTCAACTGCTTTCCTGTCTCCAACGTGCCCTCTAAATCTTCCTTTCTTTTTAAATAAACTATAGTTCAACTTGACCTCTTCGCTTAAGATTTTTTTTTTTTGAGACAAGGTCTCAAAAAAGCCAGAAGTTCAGGTGAGAATTTGTCTAGTTCCTCATTGCCATATTTAAACCACTACTCTTCTCCATTCATATAAAATGTCTCCTACTTTGAAGTTCATGACCAATGACAATATCACTATTACTTCCCTTCAATTCTTAAAACAAACTTGGGGAAAACTGTATTCAGTTATGAAAAGGCTGAGTTGCCTGCAGGACATTTCAGAGAAATATCAAGTAGGAAGTTGGATATTCACATCTAGAACCCAAGAGAAACATCTGGGTGGTGCTCGAAATTGGAAATCACCAGTTTATAGCTTTCAAAGGAGACTGAGAAGGAGCAGTTTAGAAGTGGAGGGAACTGAGAGAAGTGGTTTTATAGAAGCCCAGAGGGGAAAACTCTTTAAATGAAAAGAAAGAAGAAAAGCGACATTTGTTGTACACTGTAGAGATAAACACTGGAAAATGTGCATTAGCTCTAATGATTAGTTGGCCATTTGATACATTAGTGGAAACATTTTCAATGGAATAGTAGGGAGGGAGCCAAAGTGCAAGGCATTTAAACATTAAATAGAAACATACAATTAAACCGTTCACGCCTGTAATCCCAACACTTTGGGAGGCCAAGGCAGGCAGATCAGCTGAGATTAGGAGTTTGAGACCAGCCTGGCCAACATGGTGAAACCCCATCTCTACTAAAACTACAAAAATTAGCTTGGCATGGTGGTGGGTGCCTGTAATCCCAGCTTCTTGAGAGGCTGAGGCAAGATAATAGCTGGAACCCGGGACGCAGAGATTGCAGTGAGCCAAGATCATGCCATTGCACTCCAGCCTGGGCAACAAGAGCAAAACTCCGTCACAAAACAAACAAAAAAATATATATACAATTAAGATGGCAGATGGGGCTAAGGTGCAGTGGGTACCACCTTGCTCTCCTAAGCATACAGAAATGCCAGGTAAGGCTGGGCACAGTGGTTCACGCCTGTAATCCCAACAC